TCTCATTTTCCTCTTGTTTCTGAATTTCACGGACGCTCTTTCTGTTTCACTTTCCTCACTATATCTCCCTTTCTCCTGTTTCTAAATCCCACGGACACTCCCTCGGTCTCTCCCTCTCCCTCCCTTCGCCTCATTTTATTCGTTTTTTTTTTATCTCTCAGCCACTCCTTCGGCCACTCCCTCAGCCTCTCCCTTGCCTCTCACTCCCTCCCTTCACTTTTTTTCCTTCCTTTATTAATCTGTTGGCCACTCCCTCGTTCCTCTCCCTTGTCTCCCTCTCCCTCCTTTCACATCTTTTCCTCCCTTTGTTAATCTCCCTGCCACTTTAATCTCCCTCCCTTCCTCGTTCCTCTCCCTTGTCTCCCTCTCCCTCCCTTCACCTCATTCCCTCCCTTCATTAATCTCCCTCCCTCCCTCGTTCCTTTCCCTCAGCTTCTCCCTTGCCTCCCTCCCCCTCCCTTCACCTCATTTCCTCCCTTTATTAATCTCTCTTCAACTCCCTCAACCTCTCCCTTGTCTCCCTCTCATTCCCTTCACCTCATTTCCTCCCTTTATTAATCTCTCTTCCACTCCCTCAACCTCTCCCTTGTCTCCCTCTCATTCCCTTCACCTCATTTCCTCCCTTTATTAATCTCTCTTCCACTCCCTCAACCTCTCCCTTGTCTCCCTCTCACTCCCTTCACCTCATTTCTTCCCTTTGTTAATCTCCCGGCCACTTTAATCTCCCTCCCATCCTCGTTCTTTTCCCTTGTCTCCCTCTCCCTCCCTTCACCTCATTTCCTCCCTTTATTAATCTCCCTCCCTGCCTCCCTCGTTCCAAAGGTCGAACCGCAACGCCGGCGTCGACATCCACTACACCGACGCGGCTCTCGACTCCAATTTCGACGGCGCGAGGAGAACGATCGCCATCGCTCACGGATTCCAGGAAGATGGTTACAATTCGGCGTGGATGGATGGCATTAAGGATTTGGTGTTGGATGTGGTGGGTTGAGAATCTCTTTCTTTCTCTCTTTTTTTCTTTGCCTTTGTCTTTGTCTTTTTCTTTTTCTTTTTCTTTCCTTTTCTCTCTCTTTCTCTTTCTCTTTATCTTTCTCATTCTCTCGAGAGAGGGTTTATCCCTCCTCTATTTTTTCTAGTTTTCTTGAGAAAAAACATGCCTTTTTCTAGATTTTACAATATGATGATGACCTATATATATAAAATAGATAAGACAATCTGGTTCAACGTAACCGCATAGTCTTACACTTTTACAAATCGATCAAGTTACACTAAATAGGTGAACATTTCAACCTTAAATATAAACACAACTTTTCGCCAAACATAGATAGGTGAGAACCCTTCATCTCCAACAGATCGACGCGAACGTCATCAGAGTAAATTGGAAGACCTTGGCCGCTGCCCCGAGGTACGACTTGGCCGCCGTCGACACTTCCTTCGTCGGGAAGGAGTTGGCGAGTCTCTTGAACGACTTGAAGCAACGAGGAGGACTCTCTTCTACGAACGTTCATCTCATCGGCTTCTCTCTCGGGGCTCAAGTCATGGGCGTCGCGGGGCACAACTTCAAGACGGTTGATAGGATTACGGGTGAGGACGGCGGCCGGGAGCTGGGCCTTCCTCTCCTTCTGTTTTTTTATTTCTCAGTCTCTGTCTTTGTCTGTCTCTGTCTTTGTCTGTCTATGTCTGTTTTCTCTGTCTGTCTCTGTCTCTCTCTTTCACTGTCTCTCTCTCTCTCTCTCTCTATCTATCTAACTATATATATATATATATATATATATATATATCTTCCTCTCTCTGTCACAATTTGAGTTTTAATCAAATTTAGTTAATTTTGTTTTAGGTGTTACGCTCTCTCTCTCTCTCTCTCTCTCTCTCTCTCTCTCTCTCTCTCTCTCTCTCTCTCTCTCTCTCTCTCTCTCTCTCTCTCTCTCTCTCTCCGCCTCACCGTGCTTCTCCCGCCCTTAGGTCTGGACCCCGCCTACCCCCTCTTCGGCGAGGCTCCCCTGCAGGACCGCCTCGACCCCAGCGATGCCTCCTTCGTGGACGTGATCCACACCAACAGCGGCCCCCTCCTCACGGGCCACCTGTCCTTCCTGGATCCGGTGGGGCACGTGGACTTCTATCCCTGCGGTGGACACGACCAGCGAGGCTGCCAGAACTTGATTGATAACGTGCTGGAGAATCTTGCCGAT